TAATGACTATTTTGGACTGGTAAAATGATTGGGAAGGGGATGTTATCCTCCAAATATGAAAGAACTATGGCTAGAAAAGCCAGGGGGTGGCCTGCGGTGTGATGAATTACTTAATATGGCGTTTCTTGCCATGGTCTTGTAACTCCCACCCAGGCAATTGGGTGGGGGTGAGTTCAAATAAGATAATTGTGGTCCACCAAGAGGATTGGTCAGTTTTGCCTTAAAAGAGAGCCAATTCCCGAGCAGAGAAGAGAGTCCACCACCACCAAGGAAGGAGAGACCAGCTGGAGAGACTGGCCAGAGAGACCTTGCTGTCGCTACAAGTCTAGTCTTTTTAAATGTCAGTTTACTGCTGGTGTATCCAAATGTATAAAAGTTATTATTATTTTAAACCTTAGGCAAAAAAAAATAATAATAATTACACTAAATGCTTGTTGAATAGAGCTCAGAGTTAAAGAATTAACATAGTTTATCATTATCAAAGGTTCAACATAATCTTTCAGTCAACTGATGATATAATTTATAATCATGGAGAAATATTAAGCAAAAGTCTTGAGATTTATTATCTGCCTCTTCATACTTATGAGTAACATTAAAAACTATTTCTTTTAAAGGAGGGAGAGGGATGGAAATCACAACAATAAAATTTTTCCTTAGTATTAATTTTTAAGTAATTACTAGTAGATAATTAAAGAAAATAAACGACACAACACAGAATTTTTACATATTATAAGCTTGTCTGAGATAGCATCTAAGATGTAGAAGTTTAGCACTAACAGAATGAGAATTTCATTATATTAATACTTCACCTATAACGTAATTCCATAGTTTAGACCCAGGAGAAAAACTCAAGACCTTTGTAAATTAACAGTCCTGGTCATAAAATTGCAGCTACTATTAACATGAATACTTATTTCAAAATCTCCATACATAATACTTCATACAAAAAATTAAAAAAAAGAGGAAACACTATTCAACTCATTCTATGAGGACAACATTACCCTGATACCAAAACCAAACAATGATATCACAAGAATAAAAAGCTATACAGCAATATCCCTTATGAACACAGATGTAAAAATTCTCAACAAAATACTAGCAAACTAAATCCAGCAACATATAAGAAAGATTATACACCATGACCAAAGGGATTTATTCCAGGAATGTAAGATTGACTTAATATCTAAAAAGCAACCAGTGTAATATACTAGATTAACAGAATAAAGGGAAAAAATACATAATTATCTAACAGATGCAGAAAAGCATCTGACTAAAATCCAACACCCTTTCATGATTCAACAAACCAGGAAGAAAAGGGAACTTCTTCAACCTGATAAAGGGCATCTATGAAAAACCCACAGATGACATACTTAACGGAAAGGCTGAAAGCTTCCCCTAAGATCAGGAATAAGACAAGAATATCCACTCTTGCCGCCGCTATTCAAGATTGTACTGAAGGTTCTAGACAGACCAATTAGACAAGAAAAAGATAGAAAAGGTATCCAGTAGTCCAAAGGACTAATGGACCACAACTACCACATACTCCACCAGACTGAGTTCAGAACAACTAGATGGTGCCTGGCTACTACCACCAACTGTTCTGACAAGTATCACAATACAGGGTGCCAGACAGAGCAGGAGAAAAATGCAGAACAAAATTTAAATTCATAAAAACAGACCAGACTTACTGGTCTGACAAGGACTGGAAAAACCCCCAGATGACCCCGGGACACCCTTTTAACTCAGTATTGAAGTCACTCCTGACTTCAATACAGTATTGAAGTTCACCCTTCAGCCAAAGATTAGACAGGACTATAAAACAAACAATAATACACATAGTTCAACCATGTATATGAAACTAAATGGGCACACCAGCCCAAAAGCAAAGACTAGAAGGCAGGACCAAACCTATTGCCATTGAGTCAATTCCAATTCATAGCGATCCTGTAGAAGGCAGGAAGGAACAGCAAAATTGGACAAATGGAAATGGGGAACCCAAGGTCAAGAATGGGAATGTGTTGACACATCAAGGGGTTGGCAACCAATGTCACAAAACAATTTGTGTATTACTTGTTTAATGAGAAACTAATTTGCTCTGTAAACTTTCACCTAAAGCTCAATAAAATAAATAAAATAAAAGGCATCCAGATTGAAAAGAAAGTAGTAAAACCGTTTCTATTTGCAGATGACATGATCTAGCATATAGAAAATCCTAAAGAATACACACACACAAACTATTAGAGCTAATAATTAGAGCTGTTAGAGCTAATACATGAGTTCAGCAATATACAAAAATCAGTTGTAGTTCCATACACTAGCAATGTTCAATCCAAAAATAAAATTAAGAAAACAATTCTACTTACAAAAGCATCAGAAAAATAAAATATTTAAGAATAAATTTAATAAAACAAGTGCAAGACTTGTACATTGAAAACTATATATGTTGATGAAAAAATTAAAGAAGATCTAAATAATGAAAAGACATTCTCTGTTCATGGACTGGAAGACTTATTATTGTTAAAATGGCAATACTCCCCAAGTTGATCGACAGATTCAATGCAATCCCTACCAAAATTCCAGTTGCTTTTCTACAAAAATTGACAATTTGATCCCAAAATTCACATGGAAATGCAAGGGACCCAGAATAGCCAAAACAACTTTGAAAAAGAAGAACAAAGTTAGAGGACTCAAATTTCCTGATATCAAAACGTATTACAAAGCTACAGTAATCAAGACTGTGTGGTACCGGCATAGTATATATATACATATATATATATATACACACACACATATGTATAAGACAATGAAACAGAATTGAGAGTTCAACAATAAATCCTTACATTTATGGTAAATTGAATTTCAACAAGGATGCAAAGACAATTCGGTATGGAACAAATAGTCTTTCAACAAATGGTGCTGGGACAACTGGATAGCCACAAGCAAAAGAATGAAGTTGGGCTCCCATCTGACACCACATAAAAAATTAACTCAAAATGGATCAAAGACCAGAATGACAGAGCTAAAAGTATAAAATTCTTAGAAGAAAACATAGGCATAAATGTTGGTGACCTTGGATTAGGCAGTGGTTTCTTAAATATGACACCAAAAGCACAAACAATGAAAGAAAATAAAATTTAAATTAGACTACATAAAATGAAAAAAATTATGCTGCAAAGGAAACTACCAAGCAAGTGGGAAAAAAAATCCACAGAATGGAAGAAAATATTTGCAAATCATATATCTCCTAAGGGTATAGTATCAAGAATATATAAAGAACCCTTATACCTCAACAATAAAAGACAAATAATCCAATTTTAAAATGCACAAAGAACTTGAATAGGCATTTCTCCAAAGATGACATACAAACGGACAGTAAGCAGATGAAAAGATGCTCAATGTCACTAGGGATACGCAAATCAAAACACAATGAGACTACTTCACATCTACGAGAATAGCTATAATCGAAAAGACAGATAGTAACAAGCGTTGGCAAGGATGCAGGGAAATTGGAACTGTATACCCACATTGCTGGTGGGGATATAAATGGTACAGCCACTTTGGAAAACAGTCCGGCAATTCCTCAAAAAAAGTTACACATACCGTTACCATATGACCCAACAATTCCATTGCTAGGTATATAACCAAGAGAACTGAAAACATATGCCCATACAAAAATCTGTATATGAATGTTCTTAGGAGCATTATTCAGAATAGCCAAAAAGGGAAACAAGCCTAATGTCTATCAGTTTTTGAATGGATAAACAAAATGTGGTATATCCACATGACTGTAGTATTATTAAGCCATAAAAAGGAATGAAGTACTGATACATGCTACGACATGAATGAACCTTGAAAGCATTATGCCAAGTTAAAGAAGTCAGACAGAAAAGGTGAAACACTGTATGATACCATTTCCATGAAAGTCCTGAACAGGCAAATCCATAGAGACAGAAAGTAGATTAGTGTTTGCTAGGGGCTGAGGGGAGAGAGAATGTGGAGTGACTGCTAATGGAATTGGGGTTTCTTCTTGGGATATGAAAATATTGTGGAATTAGATAGTGGTGATGGTTGCACCATTCTGTGAATACACTAAAAATCACTGAACTATACTCTTTCAAAGGGTGAAGTTTATAATATGAATTATGTATCAATAAAAAATTAATTAAAAAATAACTCCATATAAACTTTCTCCCGTCAGATGGTGCTTAAAATATAAGTTGGATAAGTTTACTTCTCAAAAATCTCAAATGGCTTCCCATCTCACTTGGAATAAAATTCAAAGTCCTTAACCTACAATGTCTTACATAATCTACTTCTCTGAATTCTTCCCTTATTACTTAACACCCATCTCCCAACTCCACAGCAGCCACACTGGCCTTCTGACTCTCAGTTAGCATGCCAATCACCCTTCTGACTCAGGGTGTCTGTGCTCTACCTTGAAACTCTTCCCCCAGATGGGGGAAGTATGGCCCTCATACTTCATTCAAATTTCAACTCAAATGCCATTTCCTTAAAGAGGCCTTACCTGGCCACCTGACCTAAAATAGGAACCCCTTTCCTGGTGGCGTAGAGGTTAAGAGCTCAGCTGCTAACCAAGAGGTTGGCAGTTTGAATCCACCAGCTGTTCCTTGGAAACCCTATGGTGCAGTTCTACTCTGTCCTATAGTATGAGTCAGAATCGACTCCACAGCAATGGAGTTTGTTGTTCTTGTTGTTGTTCCCTATTTTATTTTCTTCATAGCACTTATTACAATCTCAGACTTATACCAAATGTATATGATTATTTCTGTCTTACTCCACTAGAATGTTCGCCCTATGAAAAAACAGGACTTGGTCTTGTTACAGTTGTATCCCTAGAGCCTTAAACAACATCTGGCAACTAGTAGATTTTCAATATGATCTGTTCAATGAATGAATAAATGTATTTAACAAATTATAAAAGAAAAGAAAGTCATAAGTAAGTCCTGAGAGGCACTACCATATTAATAGGAATCTCTCACCTGTTCCAGGTTATTATAGAGCACATGGCAATAGCTGCAATATCCTTGTCCGCTCTGCATATTAAATACCTGAAGTCAAATGGTTACTACCCTTGAACACTCAAACTGAAAAAAAGAAAAATGCCAAAATCACAATAATTCCTTACTACCATGAGGAAAATGGCTATGATAATATAAGAGAACAGAAATTCACTCTTGAGCCCTACCCAATCCTATTGCTAATACTTAGGTATAAAATACAAGACAAGGCTGTCATGAGCTATCAAATCAATCAGTGAGCCTGGAGTAGAGATAAGAGGTAAATATAGTTTGAAAGAGTACTTTGTTGCCAACATTTGAAGCCTAGATGTCTAAATTTTTAATCAGTTCTCTAATAACTTAACAGAATTATGAGGAATTATTCAGTATTAAAGAACATAGTACTCAATTTTTAAAGACAAATTTTAATTTCTAAGATATTACTGTAATATATTTACTATACCATAATGGGGCTTATTAATTTTTCCATCATATTCCTATACCAAACCATTGCCATCGAGTCACTGCCGACTAAAATTATTTGCATCAGCAATGTCACATATAACCTCTGACTGTGTCATGGCATTTTCTGCTTAGTTTACAAAGAAGTAGATTTTAAAATAGTTTATCCAATGAAGTTGCTAATGATTGGAATAACAACTAATTTAAATTCTGAAACACAGACATTCCTCTTCTGACAATTATATAAACCAGGTAAGTATGAGAATTTCCCACCACCACCAGTGGTACATTCTTGTCTGTTGGAAAATACATAACAGAAACATTCTATAGTGTACAGCATTTCTGAGTTTTCCTGTATAAGAAGATTATTATTCTGCAACTGAAAAAGCATAATTAATTAAAATCAATGACTAAAAAAATGAAATCACAGCATTAAAACCAGTAACTTGAGAATAGAAAAGCTTCATTAAGTCAAAATGCTATCATACCATTCACTTACCTATTACTTTTTATCAGGGGAAGCTTTGATTCTGATTTCCCACACTTACGGGGAAAATAAATCAATAAAACCAGCCTCTGAAATAAAGAACATATAATAAATTACTTACTTAAAATTTATCTTCTTTTTCCATTAATTTATTTCATATATTAAAATGAAAGTTTTATTTTAAGTTATATTTATGGATATGGTCATTTTCAGGCTCCAAGAACCTTAAAGCTTAAACCTCAACTTTGAAAACCATAAAATGACAAACATTTTAGTGCTTTATTGCAAATATAATTAAAACATTCATTGAACAAAAGGCAAAATCAAGTACGAGTCTATCATCACAAAACACACACTCTTAAATAACTTAAATTTTTTTAAACCTTTAACTTTTATGGCCTTTAACTCCCATGGCATTTTCACCTGTCATTTCCATAATCTCTAGTGTCATATAAATGCCATAATGACAGTAAGCTGCAGTAAGTCAGAAGCACCTGTTTGCATTTTTGAAAAGTCACATGCTAGAACCCCACCTGAAACCTACTGAATCAAAGTCCCCTGAGAGGAGCCCAGGCACGTGAATATTATACATATTTAAAATGCTCCAAGATGATTTTGATATGGGTTGACACAATAATACGGCATCATTTTTATCTATATTAATAAGATTATTACTTATTAAAAGAATATCTTAGAGTCTAAGATTATATTATTTTGCTTGGCTGAATGGGTCTTCTTATATAAACTCTGAATTCTACTGGTACCTGATTTTTTATAAAGTAACAAATTGTTTACCTTCTGCAGAAAAAATAGGTATTTCATCAGCAATATTAGTCCTGGCAAACGTCTGTAAATTAAAATAAGCAATTCAAAGAGAAGATAAACCTCCCCATAAACAGCTACCATTAGTCAAATAAGTACCCCACGTCATATTTGTTAGAAAAGTGATGTCATGATGTTTCCAATAATAGGAAAAAAAAAATACTGACTTTTGAACACAAACAACTTCACATACTATGACACTGAATCCCATCTGACCTCCTAAAATGTTCTGGAGCAAAAAGACTGATGGCCCATCTAATCCACCATCAAACACTTCAGATCTCTGGGATCCAGGAACAGTAGCTGTGAAACAATATAAGGGACAACTGTGCCTCTGGTAAGGTCAAGGAAAGATGCTATCAACCCCAAAATAAGCCTCATGAAATGCTTTTAAAAGAAATACATATATGAAATTAAGTTTGGGTCCTAGACTAACCACCCAACTCTTAGCTACCATGTTAGTTTTAATGAAAAATACTGTCAATTCTTTATATCTGTATCAATGGACATTTTTGTCCATTGAATAATGGAAATAATTATCAATTTTTTACCCTTCCACATTGTAAGGAAAATGTTGACCCTTATCCAGGATCGTTGGTAAACAAAAAATTGCAACACTTGGACTCAAAGAGCCAGTGATACCACTGTAAAATCAAGGAATAACTATTACACACCTACCCTGTGCAGAGTTCCATGCTTGCAGCTTTAATGGATACAGAGAAGTAGAAGACTTTTTTTTTTTTAAGTTTAAAATGGGATTGGGAAATTAATGCAAGTAACAGTACCAAGTGGTATTTAAGAAATGCCTAAGCACCAATAAGAAATGCTAATGGATTCAGTTGCAAAGTTCAGTTTTAGCTGGGATGGCCAGGGATATCAAAGTGGATATGATTTTTTAACTGGAAGACAGGTAGGATTTGCTCACAAAAAGACCAGGAAGAGGTATTCCAAGTAACAAACAATCAATGGCACAAAGACACCAAAAAAAAAAAAAGAAAAGCAAGAAAAGACAAGGTAATTTGGAGATAGCAAGTTGACAAGTTCAGCTGGAGCTAAGGTTTCATTTGAGAATTTAAGGAGAAATAAAGCAGGAAAAGTAGGTTGGGTGTTGACATGATAAGATTTAAAAGCAGACTAAATAATTTAGACCATAACTTCAGGCAGTATGGATTTTTTTTAGAAACAGATATGCTCAAAGAGTGTTTTAGGAAAATTCTGAATAATGGTTCTTTCCTTCTCAAAGGGGCTCTTCAAAGAGTAAGGAACACAGTTGTTGAACTACTCAGTACCATTTCCTAGGATACCAGGATTTCTAGAATTCCTAGAATACAGAACACCACCAAGAATTTAGATAATACCCAAAATATCTAAATTCAGAGTCAACAAAAACTTAGTCTCATTTATGCTTTGTAAATTAGAAAACACATACTCTTTTTTTATTTTAAAAATGGTTTTTATTACAAAAGTAAAACACGCTTATTATAGTACAATTATAAAAATACAGATAAAGAAAAACAGCCATAATCCCACTACCCACTGTTGACATCTGTTATATATTCTTCTTTGTTCTAAACATATTTTTACAAAAATGGAATGGTACTCTATATTCTATTCTGTAACCTGCTTTTTTCACTTAATCATGTACGATGAGCACCAACGTACATCATTATATAGAATTTCAAACAGAATGTTTAATGATCACATAGTATTCCATTTTATCAGTGTAAGATAGAAGCTCTCCTACCTGATGATATCCAAAGGCTAGTGAGTTAACTTTTTAGAGTCAGAAAATAGGATGACTTAAAAAACACCAATACACATAACTTTAGTATTTTAACTTAAACATATAAATGTATATGAATGTTTGGTTTAAGGTCAAGTTGAGTTTTACGGTTTTGTTTTGTTGGGGTTTTTTGTGGATAGGTCTGCTAAAGTTCCAAATCACTTTTTTTCATAAACCACATTCATAACGCATCCTCAACAAGTTTCCATTTTGGTTTCTCTAAATCACAACAAGAACTTAGAAAGCATTTTAAAAACTGAGAGAGTTATCACTGATTTTTAAGATTTTTGCCAAAGCATTTACTTTTCATAAAAATAGCAATACTATTTAAAAAAAAGACAATACTCAAACTCCAACTTCATTGGTTACCGTAACATTTACAACTGCATAAACTAATTTGGGGCAGTGTCAGAGATGACTTCAGCACAACCAACTCAATAGAAATAATGTTTTTTTTTTCTTTTTAAGGAGTATTTCTTGCACACCTGAGATTTGTACCTCCTGCAGAGGTTAACACCAATGAAAACACTGTCTAAATGAGTTCTGAGTTGTGAGTTCTGAGTTGTGTTTCTCAAGTTGACTGTGACGTTGAAATAAGAGCCAACAAAATCCAGCATCCCCATATGAAACATTTTTCAACTGCCTGACCAGAGAGGCCCAACTTAAATAGCAAGTAAGTAAGAAAAGACAATAGAAGGGCATGCGGTCAACTGAACGTTGTTGTGCGCTGCTTGGAGTCGATTCCGACTCATAGTGATCCTATATGACAGAGTGGAACTGTCCCATAAGGTTTTCTAGGTTAGAGCCTTTGTGAGGAGCACTTGGCAGCACAGTGGTTAAAACGCTTGGCAGCTAACTAAAAGGTCAGCAGTTCAAACTCACCAGCTGCTCTAGGATGGCAGGGGGCTTGTTTTTATTAAATCTTTACAGAAGGAGCTTTGGTGGAACAATGGTTAGGCACTAGGCTGCTAACCAAAATTTTGATAGTTGGAACCCACCAGTCGCTATGGGGCTCGAGGGGAGGAGACTTGGGGATCTGCTCCCATAAAGCCTAGTAAACCGTACGGGGCAGATCTACTCTGTTCCATAGGCTCGCTATGAGTCGGAATCAACTCAACAGCGTAAAATAAAAACAATCTTTATGGGAAAGGAGCCCTAGTGGCGAAATGGTTAAGCGCTGGGCTGTTAACCAAAAAGTTGGCGGTTTGAATCCACCAACCTCTATGGTGGGGTGTGGTGGGGAGACTTGGCGATTTGCTCCCGTAAAGATGACAGCCTAGGAAACCTTAGCAGTTCTACTTTGTCCTAGAGGGTCGCTATGAGTCGGAATCCACTCAATGGCACACAGACACACACACACACACAAAATCTTTATGAGAAACGATCCCTGGTGGCGAAGTGGCTAAGCGCTGGGCTGCTAACCGAAAGATCGGTTAAGCACTCAGCTGCTAAGCAAAAGACTGGCGGTTCGTACCCACCAGCTGCTACGAAGGGGAAAAGACCTGGCGATCTGCTCTGGTAGAGGTAAGAGCCTAGGAAACCGTACAGGGCAGTTCTACTCTGTCCTATAGTGTTACTATGAGTCGGAATCCACCAGATGGCACACACAACAAAAACAACAATCTTCAGGGATGCAGATCCCAGGTCTCCGTGGAGCCGCTGGTGGGTTCAAATGTCAGACCTGTTAACAGTCTAACGTTTAACCATTGCACCACCAGGGCTCCTTAGCTAATGCTTCAAATCTGAGTCAGGTACTGTGTCAACAGCTTCACCTGCATTATATCATCCAGAACTCAAAGTCTTATGAGGTAGGTGCTGTCTTGTTGTTGCTGGCGTGTCCATTCCAACTCATGGCTACCCCACGAGTGCAGAGTACCACTGTGCTCCAAAGGATTTTCAAGGCTGTGACCCTCTGGAAGCTGATCACCAGGCCTGTCTTCCGAGTGAGAATGCCAATGTTTCGGCTAGTAGTTAAGCGCTTAACCAGTTGTGCCACACATTGCAAATCAGGAAACAGACGTAGAAGAGGTAGCTTGCCCAGATCACGTACAATAAGCAGTGTAGCTGGGATTTCACCCTAAACAAATCTGAGCAGCTTATGCTCCTAAACCCCTTAATTTGAATGAAACGCTGCTTCTCTGTATTTTCAAGAATGCTAATTGATTGTTTAATATTAGGCGAAAACAAATAATTAGGTATCTAATTTGCTGCAAGAAACACTATCACATATTCCAAAGAAAGAAAATAAAACTAATGTTTATCTTAATTGCATCATTGTTCCTATTCTGAGATGTGGGTAGACAGTACCTTGGATTAGTGAGTTTCAAATTTATTTAGCATGACATAGGAATGCATTTTATATTGCCAACACAACACACACACACACACACACACACACACACAAACTTAGAAAAAGTTTCACAGAACAGTACCCTCACACACACAGCGCATTTTGGGTTTTTATACACTCTTATTTCATTGTTTTTAAGTGCTAGTCATAACCCACTAAATTCACAATTCACTAATGGGTTGAAAACTGTAGTTTGAAAAAAAATTATTAAACGGAGTAAATAATATTTTATAGAACCTGGTTGTTACCCTGAATTTTCAGCTTATTTCTACATATTGGCCATTGTGTAACAAGTTTCTTAACAGAGGTACGTGGAGATGAAAATTCTTGCCTTCTAGGCTCTGGGTCAGTGCAATTTGAAGAGGCAACAGTGTTTTAGAAAGATCTTTATACAGTGATACAAAAAAAGTCCTGGATGTATTAAGTGAAAAAGCAGGTTACATAAACACCCCATTCAAGCAACACACGTAAATGTTTATGTATTCTTTAACAGAAAGATATACCCCATACTGATTCTCTTTTGAGGATATGACTGCTACAGGCTTTCTCGTGTTTTGCTTGGTTTCATCCTCAGAGTACACAATTGAAAAAAAAGGAAAGATTACTTCCTTTTTTTGGGGGGGGTGGGGGGAAGCGAGAGGTTTTGTTTTCTTGAGAGACAATATCTTGTTACGCATTTCCTTCACGCGATACCTAACATCACTATGTCACATAATTTTGGAAGCTGCAAAGGCCTTTTAGGGGCAAGGAATAATGATGTCGTCATTTATCAGTCACACATCTGTTGTACGATGGTAGTAAAAGGATCATTGAAACAAAAATCGAACATTTCCAAAATAAACTAATCTCCAGAGTCTGGTAAGGGCCTAGTCTAAAGGCAGCTGGAAAAAGCTCAGGGTACCGAGGGAAGGGGATGTGTGGACAGGTGGCTCTGGATCTCGGCTGCACAGGTGCCTGGACCACTCCCGGCGGGTACCCAGCCCTACCTAAATCCGACCTCCGTAGACCACCCCTTACCCAGATCCACATGCCCCAAGACCTCCGCCCAAAGCCTCGTCGGCGGGCCCCTCCAACCCAGAGGCCTGAACAGAAGCGCAAGGCTGTCTACGCCCCACCTCCTCCCACGCCCCAGCCACCTCGATCCCGGCCCGGAGACGCCAGCCTCGCTCACTCAGGAGGGGCAGAAAGGGACTCGGGGTGAGGAGAAGCCGAGGACCTGCGAGGCCTTTGCGAGAGCCAGGTGAGCGCTTCCTGAGTCCCTCGGGAGAAAGAACCAGCCCCGGTAGCGAGACGAGCAAGCCCCGCCCCAGACCCTGCGCACGGAGCCCGCGGGCGTCTCCCGGCTGCGCGCCACTTCACCCCGCCCCGCCCCACCCCAGCCCGGCGCCTGCGTCCTAGCCTTGCGCTTACGTCCGCAGAGACCGCGCTGACTCCATCTGAGCCGCCTTATTGGACGGGGAGAGGCTTGAGGGCGCCTTCTTCCCATGCGAATTCAGAGACGGCGGCCAGACCCTAGGGACGTCCTGAGCGCCACCGCCCGTGGAGCCAGAAACTGAAGCCGCTGGCCACGCATGGCGAGCGGAAGAGAAGCAGGGTGTGAGTGCCTCTCTTGAGTCTCCACCTGGCTACGCAGGCATCCAGCGGGAACTTACTTGGCCTTTCAGCACTCAGTGAGGTTTGACATCAGGGAAGGTGCGAAAACGGGGGCCCCCCCCTGACGTAGAAACAGCCGGGCCGCCCCCTGATACCGGCGGGAACCCCACCCTTCTCCCCACCGAGAATCTTTTAAGGGTGACACCTCTTTCCTAGTCAGGACCCCGCTCAGAAGATTATGATATCAAACCTGGTCCAACCATAGCGCAGCTAGGACACGAAATAGAGACCAAAGTTTTAGCATTTGAGGGGCCAAATAGGAATTTCAATTCAAAGCAACATGAACTGTAGAAAAGAAAATGGGCAGACACAGGTAAGAGGACTAGTAGTATGTGCTGTTCTCATCTATTTCCACTGTCTGGTGCGTATAACAAAAACTACTGTTTAATAAGCGTTTTACTCTGTGGTAAGCACCCTGCTTAACATTTATTACGTGTATTCTTGCATTAATCCTCAGGGCACCCCTATAATATAAATCCTATTATTATCCCCCTATGACAAATCAACCATTTCAGGAGGTAGCGTATGATCAGGAACCGATGGTACCGAAGGAAGAAATCCAAGCTGAACTGAGGTATTGGCGGAAAAACAAGGCTGCAGGAATTGACAGAATATCAATTGAGATGTTTCAACAAACGGATGCAGTGCTGGAAGTGTTCACTCACCTATGCCAAGAAATTTGGAAGACAGCTACCTGGCCAACTAACTGTAAGAGATCCATATTTATGCCTGTTCCCAAGAAAGGTGATGCAACTGAATGCGGAAATTATCAAACAATATCATTAATGTCACATGAAAGTAAAATTTTGCTGAAGATCATTCAAAAGTGGTTGCAGCAGTATATCAACAGGGAACTGCCAGAAATTCAAGCTGGATTTAGAAGAGGTCATGGAACAGGGATATCATTGCTGGTGTCAGATGGATCCTGGCTAAAAGCAGAGAATACCAGAAACCTGTGTTTTATGGACTATGCAAAGGCGTTCGACTATGGATCATAACAAATGATGGATAACATTGTGAAGAATGGGAATTCCAGAACCCTTAATTGTGCTCATGAGGAACCTGTACACAGATCAAGAGGCAGTTGTTTGAACAGAACAAGGGGATACTGTGTGGTTTAGTGTCGGGAAAGGGTGCGTCAGGGTTGTATCCTTTCACCATACTTATTCAATCTGTATGCTAAGCAAATAATCTGAGAAGCTGGACTTTATGAAGAAGAGTGGGGCATCAAGTTTGGAGGAAGATGCATTAACAACCTGTGATATGCAGATGCCACAACCTTGCTTGCTGAAAGTGAAGAGTACTTGAAGCACTTACTGATGAAGATCAAAGCCCACAGCTTCCAGTATGGATTACACCTCAACATAAAACAAAAATCCTCACAACTGGACCAATAAGCAACATCATGATAAATGGAGAAAAGATTGAAGTTGTCAAGGATTTCATTGTTCTTGGATCCACAATC